CAGTGTGCCCAATGCTACAAAGAGACACTGAAGAGGCGAAGGGAAAGCAATGGCTGAGTCAGGCTAGGGTACATATGTTCCAAATTGCTGGAGGAAGAAAATCAAACAAAGGCAATCCAGTGAAAGATAATGAAAATAAGCAACAAAACAAATACGCCTATAAATAGAGAAAGAAAAAAAGGTGGCAGAGATGAGGTCAAACGTAACAGATACAAAGCTGTAGACCATGCTAAACTGTCTTAGGAAGGACACTACATTCAGCACAGTAGTTGCAGGGGCCAGACAGGTGAATTAAATGTAGGTATATAAGGAACCATGGCTGGGTGCGGTGGCTCACACCTGCAATCCCAAAACTTTGGGAGGCTGAGGCAGGTGGATTGCCTGAGGTCAGGAGTTCGAGACCAGTCTGACCAACATGGTAAAACCCCGTCTCTACTAAAAATACAAAAATTAGTTGGGTGTGGTGTCGCACGCCTGTAATCACAGCTACTCGGGAGGCTGAGGTTGGGGAATCGCTTGAACCAGGGAAGTCGAGATTGCAGTGAGCCGAGATCATGCCAATGCACTCCAGCCTGGGCAACAGAGCAAGACTCCATCTCAAAAAAAAAAAAAAAGAGGGACCACTATCTCTGCATTCTTTAAGTCTTTAAGGGTAGTGTTAATTTTTGCCATTACCACTATTATGTGATGCTGTTTTAAATTTCTGCAATTTCTGCATGGAGTCATATTTCAGTGATTCTACTTGGCCTTTTCTACTATAATAATTCTTTTTTATTTTTATACAGATGGAGTCTCCCTATGTTACCCAAGATGGTCTTGAGCTCCTGGGCTCAGACGATCCTCTGACTTGGCTTCCCAAAATGTTGGGATTGCAGGCATGGGCTATCATGCCTGACCTAGTTCTTACTCTACGAGTGAAGGACCTAATGTGAGGGGCTGCCAAATACTAAATACATCGTTCCAAATGGGACCAACATTTGGGAAGCAGGGAAATGATCTCTGATTGAGTCTTAACTATGAATTATCTCCCGTTACTGTGAAGATAGTGGATTTACCATAAGGTCGAGTGGTTTTTGCTCTGTTCCACCTCCTTGGGTGCTAACTCTTCTATTTAATGATTTTAGATGTCTCTATTTTGTGCTACCGGATGTACACAAATGACGATTCTCTCTTCAGCTTTATATTTGAGAAGCCCTGTGCACCAGCTATTCTGTGTTCTCTCCCTAACTCCAGAGAGTGTGTGGAGAGAGTAAGGCCATACTTGAATAGGGAGGTTTGCTGGTAATTTGTCTTCTGGGAGCTGATGCTCCCCAGAAGCATGATTCATTAGCTGCCAGGTGGGGAGGGGGTGCATTTCTCTACCTATCCAAGACCATTTCTCACGCTGCTTTAGCTTACAAAGTTACTGCTAGCTTATGACAGCTGGACACGAGGAACTACCTGTTTAGCTGCTCAGTCAACCTGATACATGCCCCAGAGCCATCACTCACTTCGTGTACCTAGCCTTGGAGTTTCCCTGAACCTTTATTCACTTTACCAGAATGTACCGATTGTGAACACTTTTTCTATCATTTTCTTTATCTTTTTTTTTTTTT